GGTGGAGTTCCGAATAAGTGAACCCTCCGATTTTTTTTAGACTATACTATTTTTTTGTATTTTTGTGCGCTGATTACGAATATGATAATGAAAATTTGCGACTAGGTCATTTTCAAGGTCAAAACTCCAAAAAATTGAAAAAAATATCACTTTTTTGACATTATTTCGATAAATATTCATGTATCAAAAAAATGTTTCAAATAAAAGTTATAGTTCTTGTAAAAATATATCATTTATGTTCTATACATTTTTCGCGTAAAATTAAAAGTTTTTGAGAAAATCGACGTTAAAGACGTTGCACATCGTTCAGTTGTACACAGAAGCTCCTTCGAAAAAATTCTGGGGATGAAATAATTTGGACAAAAGACTCTGGGGTTAAAACGACTTGGGAACAAAGTAAGTCGGGGGCATATTATAGGGGGGTTCGAGGAGCGAAGCCCCCCCGTCAATGATATAGCTAATATCTATTATAAAAATTTAAAATAACTTTTAAACATAATATGCTTTTCACCTTGCGTTGGGGTCTTGCTAATCTTTTCTGTATCTATTTTTAGTATATTTTAGACTCATCAGATTTTTAGTAAGGCGAAGATTTAATAAATATAAATTCTATACAAGAAAAAAAATATAAAAAAAATTAAAAAATACAAAAATACAAAAAAAAGTATAAAAACAAAAAAAAATTGTGTCAGTTCTTTGTCACGTCCTAGTCGTTGACTCCGGGCTTGGCTGAGAACGAAGAATATATTAATGTTTTCTTTCATGTTTCTTAGTGCAAAGAGAGAGGATCTTTTCTTTTATCTCATTATTTTCGAAAACTATCAGTTTTATGCAAAAAATGTATAGGACATAAATGATATATTTTTACAAGAACTACAACTTTTATTTGAAATATTTTTTTAATACATGAATATTTATCGAAATAATGTCAAAAAAGTGATATTTTTTGCAATTTTTTGGAGTTTTGACCTTGAAAATGACCTAATCGCAAATTTTCATTATCATATTCGTAATCAGCGCACAAAAATACAAAAAAATAGTATAGTCTCAAAAAAATCGGAGGGTTCACCTATGCGCCACTCCCAACTTAACATATACCGTCATTTACCTATTTACCACTAATTTTAGTCTTTAACGTCGATTTTCTCGAAAACTTTTAATTTTACGCGAAAAATGTATAGAACATAAATGATATATTTTTACAATAACTATAACTTTTATTTGAAACATTTTTTTGATACATGAATATTTATCGAAATAATGTCAAAAAAGTGATATTTTTTTCAATTTTTTGGAGTTTTGACCTTGAAAATGACCTAGTCGCAAATTTTCATTATCATATTCGTAATCAGCGCACAAAAATACAAAAAAATAGTATAGTCTAAAAAAAATCGGAGGGTTCACCTATTCGGAACTTTATCCAACGCTCGGCCGTTCTAGCTATTGCATGATCCAGTGTATTAGACATGTCGTCGGCACGTGGCAAAGAGAAGAACAGCAAGACAAGCCGTTGTCATTCGTTACAACGTCATCGCTGCGCCGCGCTGTCCCTCCCCTTGCCGCGCGCCGACAAAATGCCTAACACACTGAATCATGCAATAGCTCGAACTGCCGAGCGTTTCTCTCTCTCTCTCTCTCTCCCTCTCTCTCACACACACACATGTAGATGCACATTCAATCGATTTTATTTAATATTATTATATAATTAATTAATTTATTTTATTTCTTTCTATTATTGCGAAAATTGTAAAATGCTGGGACTTGTTTCTTCAATTTACTGCGCTCTTTACAAGCGCTTATATATATATAGTACTCTGCGACATTCTGTATATACAATAAAAAAGGTATTTGCATATAACTTTCTACAAATTATAATTTATGCACAACGTTTGTTAAATCGATATAATCAAAAGCTAACAATATAAAATGTTTTATGCAAATTGATGTAATGTCGTAAAATTTATAAATAATATAAATATTTTCATAATACATTCTTCTCAAAAGCATCGAAATAATAGATTTATATCGATAATATAATAGATTTCATCGTCCATTTGCAGACGCAACCATAATATATTTTTTTCGTCTCTCTGATATATGCAAATGAGATATTTGTACTGAGGCGTCTTTTTCTAACGATATTCATTGGAATATCTTGATCATATATGATAAATGTAAGATATATGTCAAATGTAAAATATATGAATAATTTATCATTTTAGAAAAGGCAATTTACTTTCTACTATAATTTAAAAAAAAATGTTGCTTTGTACATTTCACATTATTGAAATATTTTTCCTTACAAGGATTTCCTTCTAAGGCTATAGTTTATAGTAGTGTAAGGAAAGCCACAGCATATGCTATCAAGTTGAAGCTTTTCAAATATTATATTATTTGTAGGCAACGGCAATGAAAGTAATTTTTTTTAGACACCAATAGACACAGCCGGGTAGCTACATTCGAAGCTTGGTGTTATCAAAAAAAGTCGTCAGTGATCAGTGTAATTTGCTCCAATAATTTGTTAGCTTTTGTCGCTATATGACATGCTACAATTACATAAGAATTAGCAGGAATTGGCGGAATATATAGCACATTTTCAAAATAACTATCCTCTTATAACATGTAAAAATCGGTTTAATGATTTATTTTATCTGGATTTTTATTCTTATCAAATATGCTTTTTAGTTGAAGCAGTGTCTTTATAATCTCTGAATTAAATTTTGTTTAAATTTCGCTTCCAAAATGCACATGCAAATCGTAACTGATAAACCATTTTTGAACAGTAACCAGCACACAAATTAAGATCGCTTCTTGAATTTTTTTTGAATAATCAACATACAAATTAAATCAACTCTAGATTTTTTTTGAATAACCAACACACGAATTAAATTGTCTCTGGAATACTTTTCGAAGAGCCAGCATCAGAATTAAATCACCTCTGGGTTTTTCTTAAAGCAGCACACGAATTAGATCGCCTCTGAATTTTATTTAATATAAATATTTTAATAACCAGAGCGCACATGCAAACCGCATCTGGTATGAAATATATTTCTAAAAACAACCAGCACACGAATGAATCGCCTCTGGGATAAATATTTTTTAAAAAGTATTTTTTAATTAATAACTAGAGCGCACATGCAAACCGGTAAAATCTGGTAAAATATATAATCTGTACGCATATATATATATGTGTGTGTGTGTGTGTGTGTGTGTGTGTGTGTGTGTGTGTGTGTGTGTGTGTGTGTGTTGTATTGTGTGTGTTGTATTGTGTGTGTTGTATTGTGTGTGTTGTATTGTGTGTGTTGTATTGTGTGTATGTGTGGATGGGTGGTGTGAGTGTGGGTGTATGTATGGACGTATGTATGTATAAAAGTGATGCAAGAATTACATGAGGAAGCGAGGTAATAAAAACGAGCGAAATAACAATAAAAGCGAATGAGATAGAAATAGCATGAGAAACGAGAATTCGAGCTCGAGAATCGGATCTTTCTTTCACACTATTATTTTTCTCTCGCTCGTATCTATTGTCTCCCTCGCTCTTATTATTGTCTCGCTCGCATCTATTATTGTCTCGCTCGCTCCTATTATTGTCTCGCTCGCTCTTGATTCTTGGATCCGCTTATCTTTTCGAGCTGTCCATCACGATTGTCAAGTGTGACAGAGAAAACAAGACTATGAGTAGAGAGCGAGCGAGATGACCTATCATCAAAGAGTTCCGAAGTCTTATACAATCGATTTCTTCGCTTCCTCTATTCATTTGCAATTCACGAAAATGTAAACATCTTATAAAATAAAAATTGAAACTTTTATTTTTAATTCCATCGGTCTGAAAATAATTTCAATGAATTCATGAGATTTTTGCAATTAAAATGATATCAATCACGGCGTAAATTGGATAATTTTTAATTAGTCTGATAATACAAGTTTTATAATTATATTTAACTAAATATATTATATTTAACTAAATTTATGTCACTTATATCGTGTTTGATCTTATTTTAATCGTAACATTCTCATTATTGTATTAAAATTACTTTCAAATGAATAAAAAATGCATTTTATTTTCTAACATATATTCGTGAATATTATAAATAAGGTCTCATGTCAGAAAATGCATTTTTTATTCATTTAAAAGTAATTTTAATAGAAAAATGAGAATGTTACGATTAAAATAAGATCAAACACGATATAAGTGGCATAAATTTAATTAAATATACAGGGTGTCAATTAAGTCCCGGGACGGCTGAATATTTTCTCATGTAAGGTATTTTTGGAAAAGGTCAAGGTCATTTCTGAAGTAATTTTCAACGAGGAATTCAACGGTGACTTTCAATTTGACCTTGAGCTTGACCTTCAAGGTCATTTCAAGGTTAGGTTAGGTTTTTTAAATAGAAACCCCCTTTTTTGACACCGGCAATCGAAAGAGCAGGAAATTTTACGTTTAGATATGTACTAAGTCATAGGTAGTGTTTGATCTTGAGGGTCACTCTAAGGTCATTTAAACTCGAGCAAGGTCTGGATATCTTTTGGAATAAATGGTTTTCAGTTTTTTTTTAACAACCAAAACTAATAACTTTAACAAGGCGTATTTAGTAGTGCCCTAGAGCATGGCATTGAAGATGACCTTCAAGGTTGTTTCAAGGTCAACTTTTTTTATTTACTTTTAGCATTACCGCAAATAATAAAAGTCCGGTGACAACTTCGTTTGGACGAGTTAACTCGGGATTTTGCCCAGGTTGTTTAATGCTAACTCATTTTTTTATTGATTGGGAGCGTTTACGTCATAAAGTAAAAGTTATTCGATTTAATTCTTATTTTTCTTTACAAATATTTCTTTTCATAGAAGTCGTTTGTCATTCTAAATGATAGGTTTCATTTTATTATTTGCGGATGAATCTCTGTCGCCATTTTTCTATCTTATATGAATTTACGAATCAAAACTAAATTTACGCAAATACATACATACGATTTACGTATTATCTTAATCTCAAGAAAACATTATGGCGTATGCTAAACTTTCGGAACAAGAGAGGGTATCTCTATTAATGATGCGTGGTTGGGGAGATCGAGTGCGATCTTATAATGAAGTTCGGGTGCTATTTAATCGCACTTTTCGTAATGGAGACGGGTTAAGTCCTGTCTCAAAATCTACAGTCGAAAGGACTGTACGGCGCTTTATGGATAATGGGACTGTCAAGGACCTTGAGAGAAGTGGTCGGCCAAAATCTGTAGCATCTGAGGAGAAACAGATTGAAATTGCTCAAGCATTTGTTGAAAACCCACATCTTAGTCTACGTAGAGCCGGTAATGAGTATGACGCTTCTCATGAAACAGTACGTAAAGTTTTGAAAAGCATACATTTTCATCCTTACAAGATTCATTTGGTACAGGAGCTTAATGAAGATGATCCTGATCGTCGGATCGAATTTAGCGAAACGATGATGAACAGAATCGATGAAGATCCTCTTTTTTTGTACAATATAGTTTTTTCAGATGAAGCTACTTTCACTTTAAAAGGTGAAGTGAATAGACACAATTGCAGATACTGGTCCGAAACAAATCCTGCTTGGATGTTGGACAGTCACACACAATATCCACAAAAGCTAAATGTTTGGGCTGGCATCTTGAATGATACATTTATAGGCCCTTTTTTTATTGATGGTAATCTCAATGCCGGTATGTATGAACAGCTGCTCAGAAATCAAATTATACCAAGAATAAGAGAAATAGCAGGTAATAATTATGATAATACATGGTTTCAGCAGGACGGAGCAGCCGCTCATTACGGTAAGGACGTTCGAGCGTATTTAGATACTCAGTTTCATAAGTGGATTGGAAGAAGAGGTGAAATCGAGTGGCCTGCTAGATCCCCTGATCTGACGCCTCTTGATTATTTTCTTTGGGGTTACTTAAAGAGTAAAGTATACGCCACTCAACTACAAAACTTAGATGAACTGCGGAATCGGATTATGCAAGAGGCAGCTTTAATTGATAGAGTGATGATTCGTAATGCTGTATCTCATTTTTACAACCGCATAGCTTTTTGTCAAGAAGCTCAAGGTTTGCAGTTTGAACATCTGCGCTAAACTTCGAATCTTGAAAGAAAACACGCTAATCAAGCACCCCGGACGTGAGAGGCGAGGGGACTCACGCTAATCAAGCACCCCGAACGTGAGAGGCGAGGGGACTCACGCTAATCAAGCACCCCGGACGTGAGAGGCGAGGGGACTCACGCTAATCAAGCACCCCAAAGGGAATAGATTTTACTACGTCCACGTCGTTATTCCTGGGTAATGCTAAAAGTAAATAAAAAAAGTTGACCTTGAAACAACCTTGAAGGTCATCTTCAATGCCATGCTCTAGGTCACTACTAAATACGCCTTGTTAAAGTTATTAGTTTTGGTTGTTAAAAAAAAACTGAAAACCATCTATTCCAAAAGATATCCAGACCTTGCTCGAGTTTAAATGACCTTAGAGTGACCCTCAAGATCAAACACTACCTATGACTTAGTACATATCTAAACGTAAAATTTCCTGCTCTTTCGATTGCCGGTGTCAAAAAAGGGGGTTTCTATTTAAAAAACCTAACCTAACCTTGAAATGACCTTGAAGGTCAAGCTCAAGGTCAAATTGAAAGTCACCGTTGAATTCCTCGTTGAAAATTACTTCAGAAATGACCTTGACCTTTTTCAAAAATACCTTACATGAGAAAATATTCAGCCGTCCCGGGACTTAATTGACACCCTGTATAATTATAAAACTTGTATTATCAGACTAATTAAAAATTACCCGATTTACGCCGTGTTTGATATCATTTTAATCGCAAAAATCTCATTAATTCATTGAAATTATTTTCAAACTGATGAAATTAAAAATAAAAGTTTTAATTTTTATTTTATAAGTTGTTTACATCTTCGTGAATTGCAAGTGGAGAGGAAACGAAGAAACCGATTATAAGAGCCTTCGGAACTCTTTGATGATAGGTCATCTCGCTCGCTCTCTACTCATCGTCTTGCTTTCTCCGTCACACTTGATAATCATGATAGCTTGAAAAGATAAGCGGACCCAAGAATCAAGAGTGAGCGAGACAGTAATTGATGCGAGTGAAACAATTATAAGAGCGAGCAAGACAATAATAGATGCGAGCGAGACAATAAGAAGAGCGAGCGAGACAGTAATAGATGCGAGCGAGAGGAAAATAATAGTGTGAAAGGAAGATTCGATTTTAGAGTTCGAGTCCTCGTTGCTCATGCTATTTTTTGTTCGCTCTTTTTATTTTGCTCGTTCTTATTACCTTCTTGCTTCTTCACGAAATTGTTGCATCACTTTTGTACATATATGCGTCTATACATACACATACTCACACCCACCCACACACTCACACCGACACACACACACACACACACACATACATATATATATATATATATATATATTGTATATATGTATAACTTACACAGAATATTTTTTACGTAACACGTTGTAACGCTGTTTTCTCGCAACTTGTTACGTCGTTGTGTGACAACAAGTATCTACTACGCGGATTTTGAGAAAGAAAACGCAAGAATTTAATGCTTTAGTGGGCGCGTACATGTATATTAACGTATCCTATTACACGCAAGATGAAAGAAAAGGATGGTATGAGATTGACTCTCCTTGTCACACAAACCGATTATAGTGCCGTCTGTCGCGCCAGCAAGCAACTAATTTACAGGACTGTTTTACTCACATGCCTCGATTTCGCACACACACATAAGCACGAAATTTTTGTGCACGAAAATTATTTTTACTACGCTTCTAAACGCATTTCTGACTGTTCATTTATATTTCTTCAGGAAATTCCGAGGTGAGAGTGCTCTTATTTTGTACGTATAAACTGCAAAACTTTTATATTTAACTAATATTGTTACGAGTTGATGTCAGAAGCCGATAAGAAAACTGTAATTTTCTATTTTTTTTTCATTTTGAACATAAAATAGTTCACTCTCATATTTGTTGCTATGTGTAATTTAATTGTGAAAAAGTATTTATTATTCTGTGCAACTAATAAAAAGTATTCTGTGCAAAATTTTATCGGTAAAAAAGGAAGGTCCGGCATCCTCTTAAGTATAAAAATAATAAATTATATATATATATATATATATATATATTGGGTTGAGTAAAAAGTCATTGCGTATTTTTTGTATGTTTTTCAAAGTCATTTATTTATATGAAGAACAAAGATCAATCAATGATATATTGTCCGTTTTGTTCGATGACCTTTTGCCATCTTTCGGTGAGCTTCATAATTCCCCGTTCGTAGAAGGACCTGTCTTTATTGGCGAGAAACTGAATAAAGTGCTGATTTACCGCCTCATATGAATTAAATGTTATTCCACGCAAGGAGTTTTGAAGAGAGCGAAACAAGTGGAAGTCTGACGGCGCAAGGTCAGGCGAGTATGCTGGGTGGGGCAACACATCCCATCCAAGCTCTAATAATTTTTGACGGGTCGCCAAAGATGTGTGTGGTCTCGCGTTGTCGTGATGGAACACAACTCCTTTACGATTGACGAGCTCCGGACGTTTCTGGATGACAGATTCGTTCAAACTGTCCAATTGCCGACAGTACACATCCGAATTGATTGTTCGGTTCCTTGGTAGGGGCTCAAAAAACACCACACCCTTCCAATCCCACCACACTGAGAGCATAATCTTCCTCTGATGAAGTTCTGCTTTTGAAGTTGTTTGAAGCGAATTATCACGTCGGGACCAAGACCGTTTGCGTTCCACATTGTTGTAAACAATCCACTTCTCATCGCCAGTTATCATTCGTTTTAAAAAAGGATCGTTTTCTTCACGTTTTATGAGCATATCGCAGATGTTTATATGCGCCGTCAAATGAACTTCTTTGAGTTCATGAGGAACCCAAATATCGATCTTGCTTACGTATCCCAGCTTCTTTAGGTGGACGTGAACACTTTTTTGACTGATCTTCAATGTTTCTGCAATCTCTCGTGTCATGTAACGTGGGTTTGACTTGATCAATGCCTTTATTTTGTCGTCATCAACCTCGGTGGGTCTTCCTGACCGAGTAGCATCTTTGAAATTAAAATCACCAGCGCGGAATTTCTTGAAACAGTTTTGGCACTGGCGTTCTTGTAGAGCATCGTCACTGTAAACTTTACGCAATTTTTCATAAGCTTGACGCGCGTTCTTCCCTTTACGGAAATAAAACAGTAAAATATGACGAAAATGCACAGTTTGGCCTTCCATCCTCAACTTGTTGCAAAATCTCCAAAAACTCAACTAAATCGTTCAATTTTTTTTTCAAATGAAGCTTAAACCGTCAGCTGTTAAACGGCATATGTCAAACATATGTGTGAATGACTCTAGTATTGCCAAAACTGAATTAATGCCATCTGTTGCAAAAATACGCAATGACTTTTTACTCAACCCAATATATATATACTATATTACACGGTACTTTACTATATTACTTATACATATACTTTACTATATTACATGGTATATTACTTTTACTATATTACTTATACTATATTACACGGTATATTACTTTTACTACGATTTTGTAATTTTTAACGACAATATCACTATCGTTATCGTGTGTTATACACATATTTTAACATCAAAATGTATATACAATAATATTAACAATAATGATATCGTCGTTAATAAAAATTATAAAATCGGAGCAATGTACATATTGTTAGAAAGCATTCATAATAATCTGCACAATAACAGTAATGTAAATAAGTATATGTATGTGTAGTGTGTGCCTATTAATTTAATATAACAATTTATTACATTATAAACTTACAATTTATTATATTATGGTATTATTGTAAACTTACCTCAACAAAGTTTATATGTATTTCTCTCAGGTTCTCTCTTGAATATTATATTTTTTTCTTAATCGCAAAATCTTTATCATTCACAATCTTAATCGTGTACTTATATTTAATCGTGTACTTACGAGGGTAGTTCGAAAAGTTCTCGGCCTAATATAGAGATGTTGCTAAGAATATCAAATGGCTATGATTTTTCTCAAGTTTAATCCCTCAGAGGGCGTACCGCACAGTTTCAGACAGATTCGTTCGCTAGTTTGTTTACTGTGCTCGAGTAAAACAGACAAGATTTGATACTTCTCCAAAAATGGATAAAATTGAATATCGCGCAGTCATAAAATATTTCGTTTTAAAAGGATTAACGGCAACAGAAATAAAAAACGAGCTGGATTCCACTTTGGGAGACTCTTCTCCATCATTTTCAACAGTGAAGAAATGGGCTGCTGAATTTAAACGTGGCCGTTCATCCATCTTTGACGATGAACGTTCGGGTCGCCCGAAAACCGCCACGAATGAGGAAATCATTCAAAAAATCCACGATAGCGTGTTAAATGATCGACGAGTAAAAGTGCGTGAGCTTTCTAACATTGCAAACATCTCAATAGATCGTGTTCACAATATCTTACATGAACATTTGCATATGAGAAAGCTCTCAGCGCGATGGGTGCCGCGTTTGTTAACGGTCGATCAGAAACGCATTCGAACGAACATTTCTCAAGAGTGCTTGGACTTGTTTAAACGCAATTCAACCGAATTTCTGCGACGATTTATCACTGTCGATGAAACATGAATTCACCATTACACGCCAGAGACGAAACAACAATCAAAACAATGGGTGGAAGCGGGTGGAAGTGCTCCAAAGAAGGCAAAAACAGTTCCATCAGCCGGAAAAGTCATGGCGACTGTTTTTTGAGATTCGCAAGGTGTGATGTTCATAGATTATCTAGAAAAAGGCAAAACCATCAATGGGGAATATTATGCAGCATTGCTGGAGCAATTGAACGATGCTATTAAAACCAAACGTCCTCATTTGGCAAAGAAAAAAGTGCTTTTCCATCACGACAATGCACCCGCTCACACGTCTTCAATTGCAGTTGCAAAGCTCCATGAATTGCGTTTTGAATTGTTACCACACGCACCGTACTCGCCAGATTTAGCTCCCAGTGACTTCTTTTTGTTTCCGAATATGAAAAAATGGCTTGCTGGAAAAAAATTCACGTCAAATGCGGAGGTCATCGCTG